TGAGCAAAAGAGCATATAGGTATTCTGGGAAAACAAACCAATAGAAGCATTTTGATCACTGTTATTTAAAATGAGCAGTAAGAGCTCGCTGATGAATAAAACAGTACTAGAAGTACAATTTTGTGCCTCATAGAACTTTAGTCTTCTTCCTGACTTGGAACATGGGAAGAAGAAAAGAAGTAAAGAAAGATTTTAAAACATTGACACATTCTATAGTATTAGAATTCCAGAAATATTAGTTATAGAAAAAAAACAGTTCATCACGTTTATAAAACATACCTGAATATTTTTTAACAATTCTAACAATTTCTGTGATTTTAAACTCACATTCTCTTAGTTTACAAAATATAAGTTTAGCCAAACCTAAAATTTCAAAAGAAGGTGCAGGAACATTTGGTCCATCTACCTGAGGTATAGTAATAGTGACGAAATTAATCTGTCGATGTGTTTAATTGCCTTTTACTTTACACTGTTTGAAAGAAAGAACAGATGTGATTCAGAAGGCACATAGAAGCTTCCTGATTTTAAAAAAATTGGTAACGAGATAAAGTAAAAATATTTATTAATATGTAAATAATTCTCTTAAAAATCATTCTCAGGAACACTGGACAACTATTTTAGGTGTGTATTAAAAAAAAGTATAGATCAATAAGGTAAAACAACAAGAGGGAAACCTTTTTAAAGTTCCTCTCTTTCTTTACAGCTTTTCCCAGCTCTTCATCCTTGTCTCCAATTAAATAGTACTTCGCCCACTATTTCTCTGTGGGAGGAAGTGAATAAAATGCAATACAATCCAAACCTATTTAAAGGCATGAATGGAAACAGAATCAAGGGTATTGCTACACATAGCAATAGGAGTGTCTACAATTTAGGTGCCACCTACTTTCTAACCAGCCTAGTTGATTTTATATGTGTCCCAGATCTGTCAGATCTATTAGGCATGAACGTACTGAATTTGTATGTGTTGTAGCCTTGTGACAGGGTGGCTGGTTGTGTTTTCTTCCCTTCTTAAATTTTCTTTTTCTTTTCTTTATTTTCTTTTTTTTTTTTCCTCCCTTAAAGAATAGCCATCCTGCTACTGTTGCACAACCCTTCATCTGACTTGCAAAGTGTGATCCGTGACATTCCCTGTGATACCGGGATTCAGGGAAGCCCTGCTGCAGATGGATGGCAGATAGACGCTGGATCATTAAAAGACTGAGGCTCGTGACTGCTGTGACACAAGCCTAGACTCCTTAGTAATAACATAAACTGTCTTCTTCAGGGCCTGGCTCAGAAACACAGTGTGAAGTCTCTGCCGTGTTCCATAGAGGACAGAGACACTGGAAATCATAATTTGTTTAGTATTGCTAATCTAAAATCTCTGGTTATGCGAAGACTTGGCATTTTAAGAATTTGGGAAGTTTATCTCCTGACTTCCTACATCATACAACATCTTCCCCTCAAGTAAAAATGCCTGCCAATGTCCGTTACTTTCAAGAGTACAGAAATGAGGCCTCAATGCAATTAAAATGTATGGCAATTCTATTCCTTTGTTTCCGCCGTGTCCTTGAGGGACAGCCTGCTGTGCCAGGTCACCACAGGCAGAGGAATTAATTTACAGAGTTCAGGCAAGGAAGAGAATATGACATAGACAGAAAACTCAAAAACCGTGTTGCAGTTTTGAAGCTGAACGCGGAAGACGACCCGGCAGTCTCAGAGCACGGCTGCTCCGCGCACAAACACTCCGCTCGCTCCCAGGGCGGCTCCTCAGCTCCCGCCCGCCCACAGCCCTCAGGCCCCGCTCAGGGCTCCGCCCCCGCCGCGCTCCCAGCTCTCGCGAGAGCGGGGGGTGGCCGCGCCAGGCAGCCGGGCGGTCTGGCGCCGCCGCCATTGTGTTGCGGGAGCGGCAGGAGCGGGCGGCGCGGCCCGGCCCGCGCGGCGGCCCGGCCCTGACGGTGAGTACGGACCGCCCGCGGCGGCCGCTGCGCTTCGGGCCGCGCCTGCTGCGGGGCTCCGCCCGCCTCGGCGGCCTCGCGCCAGGGCCAGGGGAACCATTTTGTGCCGTGCTGGGACTGGCCCACCCGCCCTTCTCTCCCCCGTCGCCCCCAACGGCCGCTCGGCTCCGCGCTCGCAGCCAGGATGTGGGACGCCTGGTGCCCCCTGTTCCTCTCCGCCCTCCTCGCGGCCTCTGCCCGGCGGTTGGGGCCGGATTTAGCCTGGGCAGCGGCGTCGAGTGCGGGCGCCGGCCGGGCCCGAGCCGTGCGGGCCGCTCCCCGGGGCCTGGCGGGGGAGGCGCGGTGCCCTCGGCGGCTCTGCGGAGCTCCCAGCTGGCTGCGGGAACAGCACAGCCTTAGGGTACCAGCCTTGGCAGAGCGGGCAGCCGTCGACATTTGTAAATATTCTTGCTCCTCATGGGGCTCTTGAGAGGCTCGTGAGCTATTTGTGATTTTCACTACGTTGAAGGTTGAGAAAATACGAATTGCACAGTTTGAGAGAAACACTCGTGAGTACTGTCTTGTTTGTCATAAAAGCGTGATTGTGAGTAAGCCCCGAGGAACACACGCGAGCACACTCGGGAGAAAATCTTAAGAATAGTTTTATATTAAAGTACACAAAAACATGTAGACATGAGAGCTCGAGTCTTAGGTAAAAGTGTCAGTGCATAGTTCCAAGTTGGAAGAATGAATTTAGGAGCAGGCAGTGAAGCTTCTCATGGACGGTCCAAGATGACTTAAAACTGGTAGTAATCATGGAAGCTGGCAAAGGCTTTATTTAGTCGTAGACGTGATTAACTGAAATTACTCCTCTTTTATCGACAGAGAGGGTCAAGGTGGAAGAGAAATATTTGCTCTCTGTGTTTTGTGATTCTCTTTTTGTGAAGGGGTGTAAAAATGTACAATTAAGGATAGTGACTATTTTTGTCTTTTGCGATTGCATTGCTTTCCCTCAAAGACCTCTTGGATCTTTTATGGCTTTGTTATTTCTATCCATGGGTTTTGTTAGGTCTAGTTCATCTTTTATAATGCTGTTGGAGGGATGACAGATCAAGAAAGGCAGGACATTTGATCTGTGTGCTCAAAATAGTCTGTGCAGCTCCGCCTCCTCTTTGAAGTTGGTCATCTGTTTCTCAGGTATGACTTTAAAGTTTTATTTCAGAACTTGGTTTCTGACCAAGTCTTGACAGGTATTGCATTTGTCCCATATTTCAGGAGTCTCTAGAGTTGTTTTCTGATTTTTTTCATGAGGTTTTGATTGCTAAGTAGCGTAACATGGCAAAAGCTGATGAAATACACTGCTTTGATAAGAAGAGTGCTGCTCATCCTGCGTTACATATTCTCATTTCTCTATTGTATGAACGTGAGTAGTGTCAAAATAATGGAGAAACCAGAAGTGTGTTTTCACTGGTTAATGTGTTGAGGGTTCTCAATGAAGGACACATCAGGTGTGATATTTAAGTAAGATGTTCTTTTTTGGCAACAGCAGGCTTTTAATCAGTTCAGACTACAACCCAATTTCTGTTACTATGATTGTTATTTCCTCAGAGAAGTACTTTTAAGTATTTTTTGGTCTCACTACCTTCTATGTAAATGGAGGTGTTTACTTTGTCATTAAAGAAGTCACTACAGCATGTTAATTACCACTTGGGGTTTGTTAAATTCCTGTGTATGTAAACAAAATGCTTGAGGTTTTGAGTGTTTTTCTTCAGGAAAACCCTTAAGATGATGATACTGTAAAAGGGAACCATTCTCATTCTGACATATTGTATACAAGCACAATATTACCCTTATAGACAAGTATTGTTGTGGCTTTAATAATGTGGTTGGTTTTTTAGAATGAGACCATTGTGTGGCTCTGTCCTGTGCTCTGTGATAACTTAACGTGCCCACCTTATTTATAACCATGGCATTGTGTTGCCGTGATCAGCATAAGCCCTCTGTATTTTGTTTGCATTCAAGCCGCCATGAAGGCAGTTGCATCTCAGGCTTTCAAGGTACAGTTCTTAAAATGATTTTCAGAGAACTCTGGGGAAAAAGCTCCAAAACCCAAAAGACCTCTTACTAGTGTTGATCACCAGAGGTGAAATGCCTAGGGTCTAGTTCTGTCTATCTAGTAAATGGACTTTATGGCGCCATTGGCTTCAGCTTCATCTCTGTCCGTCTGGGTAAGACTATGAGGAAAGGCTGAACTAATTTGAGTTGTTTGGCCTGGAGAAGATAAGCCTCTGGGGAAAGCTCATTGCAGCCTTTCAGTACTTAAAAAGGGTGCATAAGAAAGATATGGGCAGACATTTAGTAGAGCCTGTTGTGGTAGGACAAGGAGTAAATTTAAGGAAGGCAGTTTTTATGATGAGCATAGTGAACCATGGCACAGATTGCCCAGAGAGGTGGTGGATGCTCTGTTCCTGGAAACATGCAAGGTCAGGTGGGGTGGGACTCTGAGCCATCTGATCTCATAAAAGATGTCCTTGCTCTTTGCAAGGCAGTTGGACTAGATGGCTTTTAAAAATCCATTCCGGGTCAAACTGTTCTATGATTTCTGCTAGTTGGATTGCAAGTAAATTTTACAATGGATGCCCAGAAATTGAAAAGCTCTTGGGCAGATTTTTAAAAATTATTCATCTTAATGGCATACTTTATGTCACTAAATCTTTATTGAAAGGTAAAGGTAAAATCCAATTTCCTTGATCAGAATTTCTTTGCCTAGATCATAACCGTTTTATTCAGCATCTTTTCACTTCTGCATCAGACATGGCAGATGTTAAATGCCTATTCTTATGTGACTCTGATCTTTATAGCAGATCCTTCTCACTTGCTGGCTGAAGCAAAGACTGCAGAAAAAATGTAAGGTTGTATGCAGGAAATTAATCATAGTGTGTATACATAAACTGACACATTAAATTTTGCCTTTTCTATTGTGCTACCTTAACTTGGTTTTAACATCTTTTTTTGGGTATGGTTTCTGCAAGATTTCTTTGCTTGTAGTAAGAAAATATTCTATAGATAGTATTATCCCACAACCTGTGCTAATTTACAAGATTAGGTTGATGGGTAACATTGCCTGATCTCTTGGGGCTACCACTGAAGGAGCAAATTAGTCTTGTGCCTATTTATATGTACCTGTAGAAGCAAATTGCTAATTTTGGACTCTTCATCTTCTGCAGGTAGTTGTCTCTGATGTCCAGTCTCCCACCCTGTCCTGTTCTGTGTGAATGCTCTTATTTTTTAATGTTCTGTGGATGGTGCATAAGCAATTTTATTAGTATTAGATGATTTATAATTTAGTCTTTGAAGTTGTGTAACGCTTCCATCTCCTCTGTTGATTCATCTGGACATTAATTCCTATTAGTAGGAACTTCCATCCCTCTTGAACTTTTGCATTTTCTATGTATATCCGTGTCTGACTTTCATCTATGCCATTTAATTCATCTAGTTCCACACGTATCTGAAACAAAGTGATTCAGAAACAGAACGACCCATAATAGAGGAGATAATGCCAGGCAGTCTTTGTCGAGTACTTAATAGTACAGAATTGGATCCATTGTTCTGTGTGCTTGTTCTTTGTGTTTTATGTGAGGGGAAAACATAGACAAACAGTGCTTAGAGCAGCAGATGTCATCAAGACATACAGCTGTGCTGTCCAGCCTCCACTCTAGTTTGTATTATTCTGATATTATTATAGCTTCACAGTTTGCAACTTAGATAGTTACTTTTTTACACTCATTGCAGCTTCATACAAGTATTAAACTTGTAGAGCACATTATGGCAGGTTACTCTGAAGGTTAAATTAACCATCGTTACAATTTAGGAATAAATATGTTTGTTACGTTTTATTGAACTACTGATCCACTTGAAGTGATGTAGTTTAGATAATAAGGCGTACCCTCAATTTCTTTGAAACTTTCACAATTAACTGTTCTTTTGAACTCTGGTCTGCTGCTTAGAACATTCTTATTGATACAGATGTACTTACAACCTGAGAACTGCATAAATTGCTGAATATTTACCTAAGGTTTTAAATGTGATCTGGGAAATTAAATCAATATTAATGCAAAGTTGGGCAAGTGAGCATTTCAGATTCCCAACCAGGTCTTGTTTACCTGGTGATGGCTCTGGGAAACATGAATGGGTTACTAGTGTTGGAAGTGTGATCTAGAAGCAGGTGTCCTCTGTAATACAAGCCAGTAGTTCTTTTTGTACACAAAGGTAAACAGTCACTTAAACTTGATATATTTTAGAGTCCTACTTATAAGATTAAGCATTTTTGCTGCTTTGTGTTTTGGCTGCTGTTGTAAAGCTAGCTAACAACTGAACATGAATGAGAACAGTGGTTAAGGAAACTAAACTCAACTGTCCCAGCTGTTAGGTCAGTGGAGTTCTGTAATAACTAATTGGCTTTTACCAGGTAGAATATTTAATTCGGCATGACTTGAGCAAAGATTAAAAGTCCTCAGTATATGGACTTGCCTTGAAACTGCTGCCAGATGTGAAGTGTTTCAGGATTGATGTAGCAGCTTTTTGCAGAATGTGATACTGATGAACATGACTGAATTGTGGAAAATATATGCTTTGTTGATGGATAGGGGTTTTTTAAATCAATATAGTTTACTCCTATTTGCAGAAGGTTAGGCCAGATTTAGAAGCGGTTAAATAGACTGTACCACTTTCGGCAAATCGCACTGTATCATTGGGATTCTCAGCCATCTGTTTGAGTTGTAACGTGTCATGCTACTCTTCATGTACTGCACCACCGAGGATACTGCAGTTTGCTTAATTTTTTTTTAAGAGCTACCGTTTATGGTCTACTTCTGTCTGTACTATCCTAAGGAGGAAGAATCTTGCTGTCTGGAGTTTGAGGAAAACGTTTAATCAGATACTATTTCAAGGACAGGGATAAGAATCATAGGACAGTATAGGAACACTTCTCATGTGGAAAAGGCACCAACATTTCTTTTGAAATGTCTAGAAATAGCAAAAGGCAGATAAACACTCAGCATGTGAGAAGTAAATTTATGAATACACTTGTGAGGTAACCTGTGCTCCTTTGCATATGTTGGCTTCCATGGGAGTTGTCTTTGGAGGAGTCAAAGGCAGACAGACTGCAGATGTGTTTTTTCACAGGAGGGTAAAGTTTCACAATTTCAACCCTGAGGAGTAAGTCTGAATATAATTTCTGCAAGTGTTGAGATGCAGTTCATTAGCAAAAGCATAATTTTTGAATTTAAGAAATCTGAGTAATCAGTTCCTGACTCATTTTACATTCATATGAGTACTGTGTTCTTAAGGGAGTACCTCTTATATTTATAATTGCAAGAATATATCATAACAAATTATAAAAGGGACTGTAGTTTTCTAAAGAGGGATGGGAGGTGTAAAGAAAAGGTTGCAAAAACTAGGATAACAACTTGTTTCCTCATTTTGCTGATGCATAGTCAGACCAAAGCACTGAGTAAATATTTGTATGTGTGAATCATATTTATGTTACACCCGTAATGACCTGTGCCTGTTTTGCATGAGTTCCTTGCTTCTGTGAGAAAAAATGATCAGTATGTCCTTGTACAGGATACAAAGAATGGAGTCAAAACCCTCAAGAATTCCTCGCAGGATATCTCTTCAGGCTTCCAGCTCTCCTCTAGGATCTAGAACTGGAAACAGTTTATCTGGTGCATATAGTACAAGAGAATCTTCATGGAGATTAGAATCTGGATACCAGGTAATGTATTTTTATTCTTCTTATAAAGTATAGTAATTGTAAAAGTGTCTTTTTTACCAAGAAAAGCTCCAAAATTCAAACGAACAAAATTTCTGAACTGCCAAGAATTCACTAACCAGGCCAATGACAGTAATCAGTGAACTGGTAGTTCTAGATTTTCTGGTTTTACCTGCTCTTGTTTGTAGCTGCACCTTTAGAAATCAGCTCTTTAATGAATGAGAGGACATTCTGATAGTATGGATCTGTTTTCTTATGAGTCACTGCCATCTTAAACCTGGGTAGATGGAGTTTTCTGTTGAGGGAGAGGTAAAGGTTTCGTTTGTACTTTGATGTGTATAGAGCATTACATTTGATGTGTTGGTGATACAAAAAGTACAGGTCTGTGCTGTCAGTTAACAAGGCTGTACAGTTCTGCAGCATCTTCCTTGTTTATGTTTTCAAAAGGTAAGAGGGGGAGCTCTAGACTCTGTCCTGGTTTTTATGCTGGCCAAATGCCAGGCACCCACAACAGTCGCTCACTTACCCTCCCCTGCCGCAGCTGTGCAGAGGAGGGAAAACTTAATGAAGGCTTCATGAGTTAAGGACTGGGAGAAAACACTCCAAGGGCAAAACAGGCTTAACATAAAGATGCAAAGTGAATTTATTACTAACAAAATCAGAGGAGGATAATGAGAAGTAAAATAAGCCCTGAAAAACACTTTCTTCTCCCAACTCCTGCCTCCTTTCCCACTGACAGTGCAGGGAGAGAGGGTGGGGGTTTTGGTCAGTTTGTCACCCGAGATTTTCTTCCGCTTGGCTCAGGGTCTGGAGTCCTTCCCCTGTGAGGCTGTGGGGTCCCTCACAGTTCTCTGTGAACTTCTGCAACGTGGGTTCACTCTCACGAGCAGCAGTCCTCCCAAAACTGCTGCGGTGTGGGTCACTCTTCCACAGGGTGAACTCCTCCAAGGAAAGGCTGCTCCAGTCTGGGAGCAGGGGTCCTCTCTCTCCACTGGGTCTCCCACTGGATCACAGCCTCCTCCAGGAATTTACCTCCTTCAGTGTGAGCATCTCCCCCCTGGGCTGTGGGTGGCTCTCTGCATCCCCCATGCATCCCCATGGGCTGCAGGGGCACAGCTGCTTCACCTTGGTCATCACCACGGCCTGCAGAGGAATCTTGGCCCTGGAGCACCTCCTCCCCCTCCTTCTGTACTGACCTTGGTGTCCCTGTGTTGTTTTCTCTCTCATGTTCTCACTTCCTACTCTATTGTAGCTGGAATTAAAACTGCATCCCTATTTGTGTTTTAATTTCTTCTGAAATCTGTTATCACAGAGGTGTTGCCACCATCTCTAATTGGCCAGCCTTGACCAGCGGCACGTCCATCTTCACAGCCATCATAGATTGGCTCTGCCAAACATGGTGGAAGCTTCCAGCAGCTAATCACAGAAGCCACCTCTGTGGCCCCCCAGCTACCTACCAAAAACCAGGCTCTGCAAAACCAACACAGGCTGTCATGTCAGTATGTTAGTACAGCTGGGCTTTGCGTGCACTGCATGGGACTGAAAAAAAAGGCCTTTTGCTGTTTCACAAGCAGCATTTTACACTAACCAAACTACTTTTGTGGGGAAGGGGAGCTATGCTCAAGAGGATGTATTCATGCTGTGCAGGTACTTGCAATTTGGGAGAGTATTATGGTAAGCAGAGATTAAACTACTGTAAAAATTATTTTTGACACTTGGAAGCAACAGATAGCAGTTTGGCTCAATTATCTTAGTACTTTTTTTCTGCTCCTATCAGCAACTCTCACCTCATTTTTGGGTCCCGAAATGCAAGCCCATTTTGATCTTTGAAACTGCAGAAATTTAACTCTGTGATTAAATGTTCATATTAAAAACAAACCAAAAAAGGTTAGGAGTTTGGTCCCTGCTGGCAAGCTATCTAGGATGTTGTACTATGTAACGCTGTTTTGAGGAACAGTTTTACAAGTAATAGAACATTATTTTTAACACAATTGAATGTATGTGCGTTACATTTTTGTTATCTCTAGCCTGCATGTGCTTGTCGTTATATAGGCTATAGAGAATATACAAAAGGGAGCAGTTGTCAGTCATTTTTGTATTTTGGAGTCCTACATGTTTTTCACTGGCTGGTCAGCAAAAACAAACCGAAAGTCTTACTCTGTAGAGATTAATGGAGATGGTCCACACATGGTGTATGTATACTGTAAGCCATTGATCAGAGGAGTCTTCAGCTGAACTGGTGCTGTAAACTTCGGTGTGTTAGAGGATGTTGGATGTCTTAAAATCTGTTAAAAGATTTTGACACAATGCAACTTCCATTATTTCATTTATTACATTAACTGCAATGTGTTCACTGCACTGTTTATTCTTTTGACTACTTCCTGTTGAGCAAAGTGATTCTGAGCTGAGGAATGATCTCATAACACTTGCCAGTTAAAACAGAAGGGAAAATATTTGTATAGTAGACTGTATTGTATCCCTTTTTTCCACTCCCAGTTTGTAGAAGGTAATCTGAGAGCTCTTTACTCAAGACTGGTGCTTAGTGATAAAACCATAGGGAAGCTTCCTTTCTTGACTAAGCTTTGGTACTTGCAGAGGTGGTAGGAGCAAACTGCATTATTGCTTGCGGGTTAAGATTACAGAGACTGGATCAAGAAGGTTTAAGTCCAGTCGGATAGGAATACAAAGGACAGGTGTTTTCACTTTGTTAGTCCATTCAGAAACCTACCTTAAAGTATTTAAGATCTAATTCAGTTAGAAATAATTAAAATTTTGTCTTTCAGAAGAAGAACTTTGACTAGCGGTAGTTCTTCAGGTATAAAGAGGACTTGGATTTCTAATACAGAATTTCTATAGAGAGAGCACTTGATTATAGGTTAACTCAAAAACTTCTGGGACAGATCAGTCTAATTTGTATTTGGTTTTGATTAGGGCTAACAAATTAGAAAGGTTTCTATTGGGTGGGTTTGTTGCATTTTTTTTTTTCTTCATACAGGTATGGAATTCTTGTACATCATGTACTGTTGAGATTGATCTGGGTACCAGCCCCTGCTTATCTGAGGAGGCATAACAAAGAGGTTAATTGTCAACTAATCAGATATATGGGATATAGTGTTGTTGCTGGGTAACTTTAAAATACAAAAATTGAGCTAGTGGCATGAGAAAAAAAATCCTATCCTTTATGATACAACATAGTAATAAACATTTTATGACAAATGAATTAAAAGTTTGAGGTTTTTTTCAGTGGAGGCATAGGGTGAAGTGTAGTTTATAAAATCGTTTTGAATGTTTTCCTGATCACGTTTTTCAACTACTGAAAATAGACACCATAACCAGAATACCTTATGTAGGGCTTTGTTAAGTTCTGACAAGGGATGTTAAATAGTCTTAAGGTGAATTGAAGGAAGAAAACAAGTTGAGGTTTTTATGTTGTTTTGGTTTGGTTTTGAATGCTTTGTTGTTACTTTTAGGAAATGATGACAGCAACTACTGTGTTTGTAGTACTAATAGTTCATAGAAGGAGAATGGACAAATAATCACTTAAGAATACTGCTTAGTGTTAATAAAATGGTCGCATATCTCTATAATTTTGCTAATCTCCATGATTATTCTGTGGAGCAAATTAAATGGCAGTCTCTTTCTTCAGTGATAATCTATTCATCGAAATTCAGCTTGTTTTAGTGGCCCAAGAGGTGCTTTTGTTGTCAAAGGCGACCCTTTCTACACCTGTGGTGTTTTTTGCATTGAAAGCGAGACCCTTAATTCTGCTCTGTTGCTGCAGTATCTAAGTCAGAGTAATGCCTCAAAAGCCTTACACTTCAAGTTTTTATTGTCCTAGGTCAAAACAGAGGACAGATGGGGGAGCTGCTATAAAGTACTTTAAAAAAAGCCAACCAAGAAAGCTTTCCTTTTGCCAGTGGTTCTCTCTAAGCCTGTTTCATTTATTGGCTATCTCTCAAGGTTTCTTATTAACTGTTTCCACATTTGTTACTGCTTCCATTTCCCTGTATTTTCAATATTCAGATCAGATACAGATTTTGAGTTATAAGGTGCATATGATAAGCATGTTGTTCTTCAGGAATCCAGGGTATTGAATAGTTCCAGCAGAGACTGGAGAATTGGAGAAAGGGACACCCGTGAAACTCCTTGGAAGCTTCCAGCGTCGTCTCCAACTCACTACTCAGGGACACTTGATCACCCTCATTCTGGAAGATTTTTGGGAAGCAGAAGCAGATTGGTGAGAACTGTTAATGTGTGATACTTTGAAAAAAATATTGAAAGCCCTAGGTTTTACTTTAGTCTTCCCAATCTGAAAAGCTGCCAGCAGGGTCTCTGTGTAACATTTCTAGATAAGTAAATCTTATTAATTCAAGATGGAGCAAAAGCTGGAAGATAGAGCATTCAGAGGGTGAAAATAGTGATGTATATTAGTTTTACTAAAAGTTAAGAAATACATTTGAAGTCAGTAGCTCTGTAAAAGTCCATTTAAAAAGAAAAAAGGAGGGGGTGATTAGAATCTCAGGCATGTTATAGTCCTGTGGATGGCAAAGTTGATATTATTTATACTTGTTCCCTCAGGTATTTCCACTGGGGTTGTTTTTTGGATAGTACTAGCTTTGTGAGTTAACACGAAGTTCATGGGCTTGGAGATCTGCTTTAGGAAATTCAATTTTGAAGTGTAGTTCTGTCCTAAACCAGGACAAGTTCATAGTCTGATTGTTCTTACATGCTGCTTACATCATACTGTGTAATAATGGTTACCTGAGATTCAAGACTCATGCCCTAATAGTTTAACTGGGTTCTAGAATGTGCCTTTGTAACTCCAAGAATAAACTAGCTTGCTTTTGACATGCTTATGCATTTTAGAGTGACAGTAAAACAATTTGAAGCACAGTAGAAATATTAAAATAAGGAAAGCAGAAAACTCTGTACAGGTTTGGTGGGACAACAGTGAAATAAAAGTTCTTCTCACTTTCAAAGTGAAAGATGTTTGGGTTTGTAAGAGTGCTTGCATCGCTAAACAGGTGTTGGTGTTAGGTGACTTGAAGGTGAAGATGCTGAGATACTGGGGGGTGAGGAGGGAGGGACTGGTGTGCACGTATTGGCCCTTGGGGGAAGTCGTGGTAGATGTCTACATATAGTTTAAATGCAAGTGGAATCTGTGGTTCTAAGTGGTCTACATATCTAGTTAAATTACTGCTATTAATGTTCAAGGTGAAAACCTTTTTCACCCTCCATTAAGTTTAAAGTAAATTCTAATGCAAGTGAATCTTGCAGAAGACATTCTGAAAATTCTACATTATCAAGTAGTAAAAGGGAAAGTAACCTGGCTTTGTACTTGGTTTCTGATGTTAGTTTGTCTCCCTATCTGTTTTTTTTATGATGGGATGAAGGAAATACTTAAGAGATTTCTTAGTTTGAAGGAGTCAGAAGTTGTGGCTTAAATTTAGTAGAAACTTAAGTTTAGTAAAACTTAATAACTAAGTAGCTAAGTAACTAAGCAGAACTAAAACACACATATAACATACTCTAATTTGGTTGGTATTTTAAGGAACTTGGTTGTAGATAGTTTCTGGGAAGACAAACAGCTTGATTCAGCTTTTTGATTGAGATCAACTTCTTTTTTATATGAAAATATAAACCTGAAGTATTTAAAATAGAAAACGAATGCCTTGACTGTAAATAACCAGATGTACAGCTTTGTAGGCTATTCCAAACTTTTTTTTAAAGTCCTGTAGTGCTAGTTTCTGAAAATGGTTTTATTTCAGTGCTGTACACTGCAAAAATTGTTTTGTACCTGTTCTTTACTCTGAACTCCTTCAGTTGCACTTAAGTTTACTGTAATCAAAATATACTTATTTCAAACAGTTTTCCTGAAGCTCACTCCTTAGTTAATTGTATTTTAGGTTGATAAAAAATAAGTTGTATTAGACAAACTGTTAAATAAAATAATGTAGCTCTTCAATTTTGGCCACTTCTGGACAGCAAAATATGTTCCCTTGGGGATCTGTAAAGCTATATTTAATTATGTTTATAGCATCTTACAGGCCAGGAATACAGTTTTTCCCCACTTTTTACAACAAGTTTTTGTTGTAAGCCACATCTATCTGTAAAGGAAATATAATGTTGAATGTTATAGAAACTGACTTTCGTTGGTAGGACTGTATTGAGTAAACTTGGAAATACTAATCAAAAGCACAAGCGTAATTCCTATGTTATTTTTAAAGAAAAGGTTTTATATCTAAAGTTATTCTTTACACTTTCTGTGAGATTTACATTATGTACACTTTTGTGCAGGGTAAGTGCATCTTAGACACCATGTAATTTGTTTTTTAATGTTATTTCAGTCTACATCATCTTCCTCTCATTTCACATCTGGGTGTTATGGTGAGTCTGAGAGAACTCAGGGAGCATATTCAAGACTGCATAGCCAGCAGCAAGATAGTGATTCAAAGAGACCTAAACTATCTTGTACATCTACCTCTTCTGTGAGAAGTAATGGCTTGACTGCCTTTTCAGGTGAGAGGTTGATTACTTGAGCTGCATTACATCAAAATTGTCTCAGTAGTAAGATCAGGTTTTACCAAGTTTTAAATGACTTGCTTCAGATATCATGCTTACATCTTTCTTAAGTAATAAAAATTTATGCCTATCTAAAGGGTATGCTCACAACAGTAGCAGTATCCAAAGTTCTGAGTATGCTGTTAACGTGGTCTTTTGAAAATCCAATTGTATTAATGTAATTTCGGAATTATTACCTGTATCTACTCCGTTTGTGGTCAGGCTGAACTGCCTGGCTCAAGCACAGCTTAATTGTTTAAGATTTCAAGAAAAGAATGAGTGCAGCTGCTTTTATTTCATGAGTCAAATGGTGTTGATACATCAACATGTGCCAGGGACAGCAGAAAGGAAGTCTTTACCGTGCTTAGCAATATATTCAAGCACAGCGTCATGGCTGGTTAGAGCATGTTGTTAGGGGCTGGGAAAAAAAGCGTTCCTTTTTCAGCAGGGCCTGAACTCATTCTCTAGGTCCTGGTAAAGAAATATTCTACACTAAGAGCTCTTTCCGGAAAACCTGAGATTTTTTTTAAAGCTGTAAGTTCGTGAAACTTGGATAGATGGAATTTATGCAATATGCCGACAGAAAAACTCAAGAAGTAATGGTCAAAGCCTTACACTGAAAATATTTCTAAACCATTTTGATACAGATCATTAGATTAATTCAGATTACCCTTGTGAATATGGATTAATGGTTTTTTTAATATCCCCTTATGGAATTGCACAGCCATCCAAATAAAAATTATTAAATTCTTGCTCAAACCTCAGTATTATTGATACTTTCTTACTCTACTAATGAAATAGTAACCATTAACATTTCTCGTTATGTTGTAGGACTGTGTATCTTTCCATTTCTACATTGGTTAGTCGTCACACTGCCAACCAATGAGTGCTTAAATTTAGTTTTCTAAATTAGCAGTGAAGCGATATCAAGGTGAATGTGTCAGAGCCATTGAAGAAGACTCTTCTGGAACAAGAGTTTTGTACACAGCTGATGTATATACAGTTTGCTCTGCAGTTGTTGGGTCTGTTAACAAAAATCAAGATCCTTTTTGCACAGAAGTGTTTTGCTCTGTAATATGAACAAGGACAGAGTTAGTCATTGTTCTTAAAGTTGTTTATAAACTGCATTTAAGCTTCATCAGCTGTTTTTATGAGAAATGAAATTTCATTTAAGTAGTGTCAAGTAGAATGGCAGCATTTACTGAGTCTCTGCTGTTTTGCTATAATGTGAAACCTTTTTAAAAACTAGCTGCCATTAGGAAGCAAGATGCTACTTCTCTTCCTCTTCTGCCCTGTAAGAGGGCAGAAGGGTCTGACTCTTCACGAAAGAATTATTTTTTGTTTGATTTAGCTTTCAGAGCTAACTTGCTGCAAGATGAAGTAAGTGCCAGCATCAGCAGAGTGCACTTAGCTTTCTGTTGGCAGCTGGGTCCTTGGTCAGCCTAGTGGCAATTTTAAGCTTAACCCTTGATAGGAATAACAGAAATGTCTGTGTCAAAAGTACCAGTTTTAATGGATTTTTAGACGATGACAAAAACCAGGATTTATTTACTTTTTCTTTCTAGAGTCGTCATGGAGATGCAGTAGGATTCCTAGATCTTCATCAGTAATGCTTGGCTCCCTTGGAACGGATCTGGTGAGAGAGCGAACACGGTTAGAAAGAAGAACAGAACTGTCTGTTAATAACCTGGTGGATCCCAGCTACAGAAACAATGACTTTTCACCTTCAGCATGTATGTTCTGTGCAACCGAAAGCTCGTAAACCTACAATTTGTATGACTTTTAGTTTCTCTTAACATGCTCATAGGATGACAGAATGATTTGGTTTGTTCCACCCCCTGCCATGGGCAGGGACACCTTCCACTATCCCAGGTTGTTCCAAGCGCCATTCAGTATGGCCTTGAACACTTCAGGGATGGAGCATCCAAAACTCTCTGAGCCTGGTCTTTTAATATTTTATTCAAAACACAAACACAAGATATATTTTAAAGTATCCTTTCAAATAAAGTTAGTTGGCCACTTTCCATGTGTTGACCAAATCATCAAAGGATATATAAATGGTCTAGCTTGTAGATGCATTCAGTCATGTGAAAGTGGTGTTGGTGGTCACCAGTGTAACTCTCCGATTAGTCAGTAAAGCTCTTTTCTTGTTTGTCTTAAAATCTCTTTGTATTTAGGTATGGGAAGAGAAATAATGTTGATTTGATCCAAGAAAGTTTTTTTTCCTTAAAGGTGCATATTATCTCTTTTTATTTGGGTTCTCAAGCAGTTATTAAGGAAAACTGCTAGACTACTGAGAATAAAAATGAATAAACACACACTTAACATGAAGTGAGAGGTTTGTCTCATGGCAACTGCTAGGACTAGTAAGGACTTCTGCACTGTAATTTTCTCTTCCTATTCGGAGTGCTGTGACCTTCTAGAGCTGTCTCAAGGGAAGCTCACCATTAGTCTTGATCTGCAGCCTTTTGCAGATGCATTAGTGGTATTTTGTAATGCTGAAGTTAAAAAAAATGCCACGTATGTAAGATAATCAGAAAATATAAAAACTACTTATTTCAGAATTTGTCCTGTAGTCTTGCCTCGACAGAAGAATATATTTTAATGTCATCATACTCTAAGCACTTTTTAGTAAGGGGGCAGGTCGACTACTCTACCTGGTCGAGCCTAATGGGAGAAGTGGATTGGTGAGCAACCTTGCTTTGTACTGTCTATGCTGCATTTCTAGCAGTAGTACTGTTATTGAGTGCTATAAAAATAATTCCCAACTGTGTTCCCTGATGTGTAGTAAAAAGCATATGGTAGATGGTTGGTTTGTTAGCTGGAATCTGCCAGATAAATATAGCTCATCTTCAGAAGTAAATGGTGATTGCAATGCAGAACCCATTAAAAAAGAGTCACCAAAACTACAAAGATGAAGGTTTTAAAATTGAGAATACATAGAGAGCTTCTGTTTCCTGCATTCATCTATCCATGCTTGTTCCTCCTTCCCCTTTTTCCCACCCACAGCCCCCTAGTGCAGCCGTTTGAGGACGGAGACTAGCCACCTCAGCTGTTTCATGTGAGCTACAGTTCATTTACAGTGGAGTTCTTGTCAATGTGTTGACATACTCAGCAGTTACAGAAGATATGCTTGTAAAAATGATAAAATGGTTTGGGTTGGAGGGGACCTTTAAGGTCCTCTAGTCCAATCCCCCTGCAGTGAACAAGGACATCTTCAGCTAGGATTGCCTGGAGCCCTGTTGAATCTGACCTTGAATGTTTCCTGATATGTTTGAGCATATCTTGTCATAGTATTTTCCTCTGCTTTTCTGCAACAGATCATCAAGATAGGCCTGCGTCTTCATATGCAGAGGGAGCAAGACCAAAAGAGAACTCATTAAGCACTTTGAGGCTGAATGTACCTATGAACCGCCAGTTGCCTTCTGATCATCAGCCGTCTTTTTTCAGCAGAGACTCTAACATGAGCTCTTCAAGATCCAGCTATCCTTCAAGACAAAGGAGAAATGAATTGGAATCTCCCCAGAGGAGTGTGCAGCCAGCATTTTCTCTTACTGCCATTAGAGATGAAACCCCTTCCTCAAGTGGTTCTGAAAGGGTTTTATCTTCTCAGAGGTCACTGAATGAGTCGGCAGCTGACAGTGAAGGGAGGCGCACAACCAGACAGCTGCTGTCTCGTTTAGCATCTAGTATGTCTTCTACATTTTTCTCTCGAAGGTCTAGCCAAGACCCATTGCATACAAGATCGTTAGGTTCTGAAGAGTCAACGGTGGTCCCAAGAGTTCAAGCTACTACTCTGTCAAGTAGTAATGGAGCTGCAACTCCTGAAGTTCCAGGACTTCAGTCATCCGAAGCTTCTCAGGGGTTTAGTTTTCTTGGACGAAGATGGGGTTTATCAGGAGTTTCACAAAATCGCAGCTCTGATTCTGATGGGGAAAGTTACAGACCAGACACTGAAAATAGGAGCACAGGATCCTGGTTGTCGTCTTCTTTGAGGAACAGATGTACACCTCTCTTCTCCAGAAGAAGAAGAGAAGGAAGAGATGAATCCACAAGGATCTCTACCTCTGATACAACTGCTAGATCACAACATGTCTTTAGAAGGAGAGAGTCAAGTGAGGAGACCTCTCTTGAAGCATCAGATAGCCCTCGTCGGGCTTCTGTTAGCAGACCAACACCTGCAGTATCTGTTATTTCTACAGCTACTGCCTCCCCACCAGATTCAGCCCCCAGTGGGAGAAGCTCAGGAATTCTGCCTGGTTCTCTCTTTCGCTTTGCAGTACCTCCAACATTAGGAAGCAGTCTGTCTGACAATCTTATGATAACTGTAGATATTATTCCTTCTGGCTGGAATCAGTCTGATGGACAAGAAAGTGGCAAGTCTAAAATACCGCCTTCAAGAGATCCGGAAAGACTCCAGAAAATTAAAGAAAGGTAAGTTAGTATGTTCTTTTACAAGAGTAAAATGTACCTATTTTTACCTGAGAGGGCTTTCTGCAATCTTGATTTTGAAAGAATACTTTCCTTTAGAGGAGGTGGCAACTCAGTCCCTTGTCACCCGTATTCTCACTTTTGTCTTTAAAGAAACTCATTTTAATTCTCATAGATTTGAGAACAGTTTGATAAGTGGAACTTTCATTATAAAAAGTCCTGCGTGAAATGTCACAGTATTTGTTGGTATTCCATTCTATTCAGCCTGCTTTTAGAAGATTCTGAAGATGAAGAGGGTGACTTATGCAGAATCTGTCAGATGTCCTCTGCAAGTTCTGACAACCTTTTAATAGAGCCATGCAAATGCACTGGGAGTCTGCAGTATGTTCACCAGGAGTGCATGAAAAAATGGCTACAGTCGAAGATAAATTCAGGTAAACTAGACCAGGGTAGGCTTCCAGTTATACAGGGAGGTTTATCAGAAAAATTGTACTTGCTGAGGTATTTAGTTGAAAAGCAAGCAGTGGGGACAAACAGTGGTATGGCACTTGCAGGCTTTTTGTGTCTCTGCAGCTTCTCATGTGAGTAGTTCCAAGAACTGCATTTCTTGTTTAGAGAACTACATTTTTTGGGGTTGTCTATTGAGATGTTAGACAGAAGATAACATTGCAGAAGTGTAGCTTCAGAATTGGTGGTAGGTAGCACCATCTCAGTGGTACCACTTTGGGTGGCATTTGTTCCCCACCCTTCCTTATTGAAATGGTAGTGCTTTTTTTTAAGGCTTCTATAGCTGAGCTAACTGTTAGCAGTGATAGGAATTTGAAAATCCAGAAATGAGTTTGAATTATAACTAGACTTGAATATGTTTTTTTTTTTTTTAGAGATACTAACTCCTGTTGTAAGACACTTTAAAATTGCTTGTTCAAAAATTACTTCAAAGTGCGTCTATAATTCTTTAAGAAACGCTTCAGATTGTGCATGCTGTAGAAATATTTTTGTAACAGATTGATTGACTGGTTTGTAACTGTAATCTGCAGTATTCTTAAGACTTAAAAGTAGGTGGCTTGATAGAAGACGTGAAATACTTTGTACCAAGGGAAGGTACTAGTATCTGTCTTTTTTGCTCTGCACCAGAGGATACACATCAGAGTAGGGATGCTTTAGAAGTCTTAGCTTGCAGAATAAATTAATTTGAATTATTTAACTATATATGAAGACATAAGTCCACTATCAACTTTGTCAACTTACTTTATTAATGTTTTTGCTTATGGAGGAGTTTGTTTTAAAACTGGTACGTAAGACAAAATGTTACTTAACAATAACTTTATTCTGGTCTACCTATTCATACCTTTGTGTCTATTTGGGTTACACAGTAAAATTCAGAAAGCCCAAGAAGCGATTTTATGCTAGACTTGCAGGAAGAGGTGTATTACGTCCAGAGTGAATGTGAGGCAAAATAGGTGCAGCTGGATAGAGAATAAACATTCTACGGAGTTTAAATTCTCACAGTAGGAGATGTTACTACATTCCTATTAGAGGCTTTCTTTTCTTCTAACGTTGCTCTGAAAAGAAAAGCTAAAAAATTACGTAGAATTTTTAATGTTTATTATGAGCATGTCATATGTTATAGATTGTTGAAACTTGACACTAAGTTTTCCCCTTGCCCGCTTCCTCATCAGGTTCTTCTTTGGAAGCAGTGACGACTTGTGAATTGTGCAAGGAGAAGTTGCATCTTAATCTGGAAGACTTTGACATTCATGAACTCTATAGGGCACATGCAAATGAACAAGTTAGTATATTTTACCTAATTTGATAAGTGTTGCTTTAGTGCTGGGAGGGCAGTCTTTAGAGAAGCCAAATGCATCTCCATTTCAGAAGGACTGTTTTACATAAAAAGTAATGTTAATGTGCAACAGATTTTTCTCCTCAATACTGCAACTACCACTACCTTCCTGCTACGCTTCCTAGAGCTGAGTTTGGAGTAAGTTTATCAAACTTATCTCTTCTCTTACTTGCATATCTGTCGTCTAGCTTTGTAATCCAGTGTCTCTGGATTGCACATTGTCACATAGGTGCAGTTTGAATTCTGGCGTGATTAGATTGAATTTCACATTAAATCAGGAGTTATCATCGCTTTTAGCTGTTTTTGAACACAGTTTAGCAGTTGTTTTAAGCATACAATTATAAACTTCTTTTAGAGTGGTAGAAACTAACCTCTCTTCTAGCAGTTTCTAACTGCTCCTTCAAACAATTTCTTAGCTTAAAAATAATCAAAGGCACATTGGTATTACTCTTGTTATTTAAATGGATTATCTTAGAACTACTGGATTGTGTAGTATTTAAAAGTGAGTAAATAACACAAAGCTGGTGTTTTTAAATAACTTGATCCAGAGGTTTTTTCCCTGTTCTCTGGGAATGTATTCTGATGATATACAAAGAGTAATGATACTAGCCTGCCTCAGATGTTTAAAGAAAATAGCAAGTGACATCCATTTTGGGGCAAAATACCGGCCTCTAATTTTTTTATTATTTAAAGTAAGTTCTTACCCTAGTACTCTTAATTACTATCAACTGGGGCAGTCTCTGAAAAGTCTTTCTCAAGAGTGCCATCATCTTGTTTTAGTACTACTGCTTCTTGGTTGCTGTCACTGCACTTCAAGAGAAATTAGAACTTTGAATTTTTTTCCTAAAGAATTGACTGAATTATCTGTTCAGCAGTAGCATTTTTAAAGTTTTTCTCTTATCTTAGCAAGTAAAGGAATTACCGTAACATTCTTAAAATATATTCCTTTATTTTGGCTTTCTGTAAAGCCTTGGGACCACGGAGAAGAAACCAGCAATATTGGTTTTATTTCCCCAAGTGATATAATATTCTTACTTGCACGTTCTTTCCTCTGAACTAATCATGCTGACTTAGATTTAATTTGTAGGACTCTATTTATCTTCAAGGATAACATGTTAAGTTTGGGGTGGACGGGAGAAGGACCAGAAGTACAAATAATTTTTTAGTATTACATTCTCCTAATTCTTTTGGTGCAACCTAGAGATAAATCTGTAATGATTCCATTAAAATCTGATTGCTGTTCTACTTGAATCATATATGCAGATGTATTACTGACATTGAGTGTTTCTTTTGATCTCTTTTAAGGCAGACTATGAATTTATCAGCTCTGGTCTCTACCTTGTAGTGTTGTTACACTTATGCGAGCAGCGCTTTTCTGATATGTTAGGAACTGCAAATGAGGCCAGCACACGTGTCAGAGTAAGTATGCAGTGATTTTTCTGCCAGGAATTGCTCGTACAGAGAACTTGGAAGCAGATTGTTACCTCGAGTGACCTAGGAGCTAGATAGCAAGAAACACACTTTTTATACGAATGTAGGTCTAGAATGGGGTGTGCTTGTCAGTGCATCGTCCTTGGTTGGAAACTGAAGGTGCTACATAATTGCAGGTCCTCTGCTAGAGAATGCTTTTTTGTCGAGGTTGTTGGTAATTCATTAGTTAGCATGCATGTTGTCATGATTATTGTGAATTTACGCAAAAGTGGAAGGTTAACCTCTCTCTGTGCCAAACATGTAGTTAAGAATGCTGAACTACCTGATTAGTTTAATTTTTCTCATTATGCAAGTCTATATTGCAACCGTCTAGAACTTGCAATGCTTGTCTGCCAGAGTACACCTTAACGTGTACTTGAATATTAACATTCTGCAACAGCCTATGGTTTCTGTGGCATTAGTTCAGACTCTTATTAGTTGCATTTGACTGCATTCTCGTCACTTGGAAGGCCTGGCTTAGGAACCCTTAACCAGTAAAAGATCAATCTTCTGATACAGAGTTCTTTCTGCACAGTGATTCACTCGTAAATCCAGTATTCTACGTGTTTATTTGATACTAGATAATTAATCAGTGCTCTTAGTCAACTGAGCTCCTGAAAAGCTGGTTATTTTTAGGTTTTTTGCTTACAAACGAAGAAGTGACAGTATTAAGCTTACCCAATGCATATGGGAATGGTTGACTGCTAGCAGGTACTAGGCCTTTGGGGAAGAGACTGTGCTCTACCTAATCTCTTAATGTATTAGAACAGTGCACCTCTTTTCTGTATGCCTGTAATGTAGGGCTTGTATTCCACGGTCCAGTCTCTCTGCTACAGGTGTTGAGATATAAAAGACACATAATCTAATTGTAGCCAGCATCCAGCACAGGTTATTAGCTGGAGTGTATTGCAGAAGATGTTTTTACTGGTTTCCCATCGGAGGAGGCATTACATACTTTGGTTTGTGACGCTGCATTTTAAACTAGTGAGAGCACTAATGCTAGTGTTTGATATCAAGCTATGGAAACTCATTTTATCTGCTGTGTCTTGGTATCTGGACTTTTAACTGAAGCAATGATGCAGATTGGTAGTGACAAAAGAAAACCACTTGGCTGAGACTTTATTCCTAGGATTTCTGGCTTTGGGTTTTGCTACCCCGTGCTTCTAACATCAGACCATCATCATTGCCTAATAGTAATCCTGGTCTTAAGATTTTAATTGTAAACAAAAACTTTAAGTGTTTCTATGCATTTTTCATGAACCACATCCAGTCAGAGGGTTCTGTTTTGTCATATTAGTCATGAATTAAATGAAATGGATTTAACTAATGCAAGACCTTACTGTGATTAAGCTTTTCTGCATTACAGTTTTTAAGAATGGTTTTCATTAAACTGACACTTGTTTGTTTCAAATTCAATTTCAAAATTGATGTGTTTTATGGACTGTAGAACATGAAGATAATGTCAAAAGCTGCTACCACAAACATTTTACAGCTGAAGTAACTGTTCAATAGCAATTTGAAGTCTAATGTGTGTGGATTTATATTAAATTTTGTATTGTTTTTTGTAAGTTGGGCAAATGGGTTAGGATAACCAAGATTTGTCATGAATCTTTGGAATGTAAAAAGTGAAGAAAACTTTTCTAACTTGTTGCAAATTTCTGCAGATAACTTTGCAACTTTTAAACTACTTTCTCTCTGCCTTGTTTCTAGTTTATTAACCTTGCAAGAACTCTTCAGGCACGTATGGAAGGTATTGAAAGTAGGTGCTTCCCCTCTTTCCCTCCTCTCCCATTAGATCAACTCAAAGCTAATGAGTGCAATCCTCCTTGCCAAGGTTCATAATACTGAACATCATTACTGAAAACCTTACTTAGCAGTGCTTTTTCCATCATCAGTAGAATTATTCTGAGGGGGAACTGGTTTTAATTCTCCATGATTAATTTCCCAACAGCACAGAGTTGTTTAGACCACAAAAGTGTTATCTGCAATCAATAACAAAATTCCTTACTAGTTACAGTTTGGTTATTGTAGTTCTGGTAATTCGTAATTCTAGGATAAATGTTGACCTTCAGGTTGTTGACTTTTAGATGAGTCTTAGCAGGAAAGAAACATTTAGAATTGAATTTTACTGCATTTAAATTAGACACTTGTATGGCCATTTTCCTTTCCTTTCTTTTTCTTGCCCTCCTCTCCCCTTTGTTTTTTCCATCCTTACACACTTTTTGGTTGTGTGGGTTCCGTGATCAGACCTATCAGACCTTGTGAATGAAGTCTAAAGGTTGCCAGTTTTGGCAAATGATTAGCCTACTTTTCATATAATGGCTTTTTTTAGTGTGTTTAAATTCAAAACTATATGCTGATATGTCTAAATTTCTGGTAAATATATCCTGGATCTATTTCTGGGCATGTTGAATACTCAGTAGAAGGGTACTTGATCTACTCTTTTTTTCCCCCTAATGTGCATGTGAGTGGCTGTCAGCTGTAGATGGGTTTTCAGTACACAGGATGCATTTGGAATACTGTAAAGAATGGGTGGGGGTGTGTGTGTGTGTGTGTGTGTGTGAGAAGGAGGAAGTTCTGGTTCAAGATGATTATTTCTGCATTCAGAGCCGTCAAAGGTGGACTTGAGTTCTGAAGTCATTCCTAAGTTATGTGCATCCTTACTAGAGGAAAAATTAATGAGTGACATTTTACTCCTTAATTCAATCTATATTTGATTCAGCCTTTAACTTGCAGGTGAGGAATACTGAGTTCTAGATTTATTATTGATACACTTCAGTTACATTTCTCTTCTAAGAACTGAAGAAGCAAAGAAGTCAGACTTTTTTTCTTTCTGTGTTCAGAGATGGAAAATGTTACTCCAGTATAAATACTTCCTTGCCTGCAGACCTTGCTTAAGAGCACACACTAAATTCCTGTTACAGACAAGCTAGCATTTTACAAATCTAATGTAGGTGTGTGTACTGACCTTTCTATCATAGTTGACAAGTGTGTATTTGTCTTTTAAATCACCTTGCAACGACAAAATCCTGTGCTTATGTGGGCTTTGTGTTCATCTTTTGTATGCTGAAAGGACAGGAGTGGAGAGAGGAGCTGCTTCCAAGTAGCCCCAGCTTGCATGAAGCAACATATATGTGTGTGTAAATATATATAAATTTAAGAGATTTTGTTTAGAGTGCTGAATCTTTCTAGGTATTTTAGTATCCAAATTGTTAACCTAGTGAGTAATTTCTTTCCCTTATGTTGGGTGCTGCTGTCATGGATTGAGTATATCCTCCTCTGACTACTACTGGAATTAGCCACTCTAAGCACTACATAAAACTTCAATCTCTGGCATACTTGAGTTTTCTTCCTCTTATTTTGAGGAAGAAAAGTAGGAGGACACTGTATGTTCTGTTGAGTTTTGATTTGAAAATGCTATATTTTTCCAACATGAGATGCATTTAAGAATTAAACTATCTGATTACACAAGGTTTGGGTGGGTATTACAGTCTGCTGTTTAATATTATAAAATCACCTTTATTTCCTCTACTTATCCTAAAGTGCTTTAATTTCACACATTTTTGTCAAGCCTTCTGATTACACTGTATTGTTCCAGCAGCTTCTGAAGATGATTCTGAAGACTGATGCTGGTAGAACTTTCATACTGCAAGAAACAAACAGAATTGCTGCAGAAATGCTGAACTGGCAAGAAGAGTGTCAACATGCATTTGTTTTATTCCTCTCTTTAGTAAAATGCTCATTGAATATTACTGTAGTTTTTGAAGCATTGTTGAATTCAAAATCAACTGCTGCATAGTGGAGCTCAGTGGACTTGAGAACTACTCAGCATGTGTGAGGATTAGATACATAGAAAGCAACTTCCCTTTTTAAATTCTGAGGATGTTGTGCTTTGTTTTGGAAGACATCAGATTCTGAATATTTAAGGAAGCTCTATCTCCCTTTTGGTTTCCTTCTTACTGTAGTCAGACTTCTGGTCTGGTTTTGTCTTACCGAGTTTTGCTCCTGTACTGGCACTAAGTGGTTATAGTGGGTTTTGGGGGAGGGTGGGGATGCCCGTGTACTTAAATAGGTTTTGTTTGGCTGTTCTTAAATGCCTCTTTTGCCACATCATATAACTGATTGCTTCCATTGTTAATGAATGAACGGGAGGATAAGATAAGCAAGATACTGTAGAGATTGTTTGGGTTTTGGCTTATTTGAAGGTTATTATTTAACTCAAAAAGCAATAAGAACTTGCTGTGGTCTTTTAATACTTGGTGACGGCTTTTTTATGTACCAGTTTGGATATCTGAGATTATATTTGATATCATGTGGCTGTTCCGTTATGGAATATTGCTGGTGTAAACTCTTGCATTTCAGCATTCCTAGCAGATATGCAACTTGACAAAGACCTATAGTTGTTTAGTTTAATCAGACTTTTTTTAGATCCCACCTTCACTGTTCAAAGCACTGGTTATCAATGTGTTTTCTAGTGTTGTCACTTCTTTATAAATAAAGACAAAAGAGGTATGCATCTCTGCTGCTATTGTCCATTTTATTTAAATGTGGATAACTACCAGAACTTACACTTGAAAACATAAAAAGCTGTAGTCTGTGGTAAATCTTTACTAATGTTTATAAATTCTTACCTAGCTATTTAAGATTGTTCTGACCATTTTGGATTGAAATGCTTTCTATAAATGGTGGTACAACAAATTCTTATACATGTATTGGAATTGTGTTTCCTACAGATATGTGTTAGTAATTACCACAGTAACAATGTATCTGCAAAGAGTGCAGTATGTTGAAATGCCATGAGTTTAGTTTGTTGTTAGAGTATGTAAAACTAACTTGTGCAGGTGGAAGGATGTGCCTTACCAGCTGAAATGCACTCGTGATTTTTAGAGTTAACTTTGCTAGCGTTGCATGAGCTGGCCTGTTATCTCTAAGACTTGAAAGAAAACTGAGTGCTAAGGAAATGGCATAATGGTATATTTCTATGCCCCTTCTAGTAACTTCAGGCATTCAGTGCCAACATTTACAATTATTGTTTGGTAATTAGTTGAAATACAGTTCTGGGACATTAATCTGAAAAGTGAAGGTCCAGGCATATGTGAAGATGTTTGTAACTCATTTCTGAAGGTGAATTAAGTTTATAATAAATGTTCAATCCTTGTGGAGTTAGATGGTACAGCTTAATCAAGTGTCATACAGTGAAGCAGTCAGTATTTCATATCCACTCAATACATTTAGGGCTACAAGCATGGGTTCTGTCTGATACCCTAATAAATTGATGGCTTGAATGATATTTTTAATTTTTTTTCTTCAGTCTTTGTAACAAACACAAGTCCATGAAGGTAAGCAACGTAAGGAGCTCACGTACAAATGTGGTCGAAACAGTACGAATATTTGGTGTCCTACAGCCTTGTTGAGCTTCAGTGCAAATGAAGGAGCGACATGGGGGAATACCACAGTGGAATTGGTGAAGTGTAGAGGGTCGGAATGCACCAGCTGGGAAGAATGTTGCCCCCAGACCCAGCTACCTCCTTATGGAGGTAGAGCTCTTAGAGGAGAGAACTCTCTTTAGAGCAGAGCTGCTTTGCAGCCCTGGTGCCCCACAGCTTTAGATGGGTAGAACCTGGGAGCAGCCAAATTAGATGTCCTCTATGTCACTGTGCTGTGAGATCTCTGTCCATGGGAGCACCTATCTGTGCGAGCTCTTGTGGGTCCACGCAAGTGGATTTTAGTTAGCACGCTGCACGTGCGTCCATGCAGGTGTCTGTGCAAACATGCATTTCGTTTTGTTCCCTGGGTTTCAGGACATAAGGAATAACTGTGGCTTGTTGCTGGTTCTGGCAATTCATAGGCATACCTTATCCTTAGTAGTGAGCCCACATCTCCCTAATGAGGCCAATGATGACAGAACCACGAGTAAATGGGAACAAGCTGCAGAACTGAGTGTCTCATCCCATCCTGGGGCCAGTTAAGAGCGGTGAAGTTGACAGGACACAAAGGCGTTCAGTGCCATCGTGAGTCTTTAGGGCTGTGGCTCCTGCAGAGGTCCTTGGTGCTCCAAGTGCCTGTCCTGGGCTCCTGTGTGAGGGGTGAGAAGGAGAGCATGTTTTTCCATATCACAATTCTGACTGCTGCTGTGTGTGCAGTAGTCTTTTGTACTGTGCCACCCTCACCTGCCAGGTTGTTTGTATTGCATTGACCTGCCTCGTTTCAAACGTCCCTCTTGTGCATTGCTGCGCTCCTCCCAAACCCAAGCACGGGCTGGGCTCTTCTGCCCGTTAGTACCGCAAATGAGAACGCTGCACGTGTGCAGCACAGAGGCTCCCACCCGCGTGCGCAATTAAAAAGCAGTAATGAAAGTCCTCAAACATAAAAACACGCAGCAGAACTGCATGCACGTAAGCAGGAGGACCCAAAAAAGCAAAGGGACGAGAAACGACTTGGAGAGCGACACACACGCAGCAGGGTGAGAGGCTGCGCATGTGCAGCAAGGGGTGGGGGGGGAAGCTGCGCGTGGGGCTGCTCGCTGACTCCACCTGTTGGCCGACAGGAGGCACTGCAGCCTCCGGGACAGGCTGCACATGCGCAGTGACCCGAGGATCCTCATCCGGGAAAGCCGCGCTGCGCACGCGCAGTGCCTCGGCAAGGCCGCGTGGCTGCCGCGGCTTCTTCCGCTCCATGCCGCCGCCGGGACCTCATGGCTTCCCTGCCGCCACCTCATGCCTGTCCTGCCCTTGTGGGGCCACGGTGCCCAGAGTGCCAATCACACTGGCAGGGACACTGGAAGAACTGTGAGGGAAGTGGGAACGTTGGAAGGCACGCTGGGAGGAAACTAGGGGCACAGGGAGGACACTGGGACTCCTGGGAGTGATCCTGCTATTGAGAAGGACACAAAAACGTCAAAGTCATCCCAGTGCTGCAGGACACTCCAGAAACCACGAAGACACGGAACAGGGCCCCCTGGGGCCATCCAGGACCACTCCAAGGGCAAGCAGAGTTCTAGGTGGTGCCAGCTTTGGTCTGGGAGAAATCCTGCGTCAGTTGGAATTTTAGCAGGCAGAAGCCCAGTTCCTGGAACAGGGACCTATACGCAAACTGTGGTCCTTTTCCCTGTAAAACAAAATTGACCCTCCCAGTTTCCTGATGTCAGTTTGGAGGAGGCAGTTGGCATTCAAACAGTGGGCTAGGTTTGTAAAGGGTGGCAGGATCCTGATACATCACTCTGTGCTCGATTGCTCCTGCCTAGATCCATCTCTCAGTGCTCAATTGCTCCTGCGTTCATCCCATAATTGGCGTTCGATTGCTAATGCCTGCCGATCGATTAGCTCGGCGATCGATCACTAATCCCTGCCGATCGATTAGATCGGCAATTGAGTGACCGTGCCTGCCGATGGATCAGGTCGGTGATCGATTAGATGGGTGATCGATTGC